ATATAGAGACCATGTGCTAAAAGAAAAAAGAAAAAAGAAAGAAGCTGCAAGATGTAGAAGATAGGCGGATCAAAGTATGGTGCTATAGGCCGTAAGAGAATGGGATGGGAGAAGAATTGAAGAATTGAAGAACGCGCACATGGAGATGGCTAAGCATAAGGGTATATATAGAACCATCAGCAACTTAAACCATATTGCTGAAAGTTTAGTACCCTATCAACAACATATTTCATATTGCTAAAACTTATTTGAATTTCAAATTCCACTACTCATCACTGACGTGTATCATGTTTCTAAAACTCAAAATTACTAATTCTCCTGCCACCTTATTGAATGATTAAAATTATTATATTTTAATTAATTATTATGGTTAAAAAATTCATTTTTATATCTAAAATTTAATTTATTAGTAGTTTTGTTCAATCTATTGAATTTTATTTAACATTTGACACATTAATTAATATAATTACATTATTTATTAACATATTTAAATAATTTAAAACGCTATTTTGTCTTGAAAAATATGTGGATATGCATATGAGGCTAAATAGACATTAAGGGACAAAGAACACAAATTATAAAGGGAAAAGTTGGTATCTATAATGGCAGACAAAGGGTGTATAGATAATGATTTTGTACAACTATCAATCAATGAAATTGGTATGTATATCTTTGTTTCACCATCTATTGGTCAATGCATTTTTAGCAACATGGTTTTAAGTCTTCTTTGACTTGTTAATTATTTAAGTCTTCATTTTTGGTGTAATAAAGGGATTTTTTTTTCTTTTAAAATTTTCAACGAAACCTACTCTTGTCAAAACTTATTGTGCAGATAATTTAGTTAACTAAATATTCAATATAAGGTTTTAAAGACATTAGTTTCTAATATTATTACTTCATCCGTTCAAATAAATATTTTTTTTATAATAGGCACTAACTTTTAGGTAAAAAATTTTATTTTTATCTATTTTAATTACTTTTTAAAAAATAAAAATAATTTTTTATAATATAATGAATAATTAAAATTAAAAAATAATTATAAAGTTAAAATAAAAATATTTATTATTCTTAAAGTATAAAAAATTAATTATTATTTTAAAATGAGAAAATGAAAAATCAAGATGTCTTGTCATTAAAAATGCAAAGATGTCTAATAATAATAATCACGTGATGAATTTGATAAAATTAGGATTCACATTATATCTCACATATTTCACACTATATCTCACATATTTAGTAGTTGTGATCGGACATTACTACTAAAATCCCTATCTTTAGCAACTTGGAAGCACGTTGCTAAAAGTGCTTCCCATGTTATTGAAAGTCTTTTAGTAATGTAATTCTTGTTGCTAAAAGTTTTGTTGGAAAAGTTTTGGTAGGTGATACATTATCAACAAACATTTTGTTGCTGATACATGGTACCTTATCAGCAACGTGTCTTCCAATGACTTTTTTCACTATTTTTAGCAACCTAGATCACGTTGTTGAAAATATGGTTTCACCAAATTGGCTAATGTTGCTATAAATTAATGGTAAACAAGTGACCAAAATAACTAAACTTCGACACCAAAACTTGGCCTCATTTTCAGCAATATAGCTCTTGTTGCTAAAAATTAAAGGGGAGTGTTTTCTCTCACTTTTGAGCAATATAAGCCACGTTGCTGAAACCATATTTTCAGCAACTTGACTTGTGTTGCTAAAAGTTAGATGAGGGAGTGTTATCTCTCACTTTTGAGCAATATAAGTCACGTTGTTGAAACTATATTTTGAGCAACTTGACTTGTTTTGCTAAAAGTTAGAGGAGGGAGTGTGGCCACCCACTTTTTAACAACGTATGCCATGTTGTTGCTTACTCTTGAATAGTACAACCTATTTTTGGCAACATAGTCATTGTTACTAATAGTGAGGGGAATAGTACATCACCATATTTTCAACAACATAACTTTTGTTGCTGATGTTTATTTGAATAGTACCAATTTTCAATAACATACCCCTTATCAGTGATTTGTATCAAAATGCTTAATAAAGAAAAATATACCATCTGAATACATATTCTTTATTTTCACTTACATAATAATAAATATATTATATTAACTTTATACTATCATTATTAAATTTAACAATATTACAGTATTTAAATATGAAATTCATTTTTTTATAATCCCTAAATATTAAATCTCTTGATATCTTACATACAATATAATTAATTATACCTATAAAAATAATTATAACTAAATAATAAATATTTATTAATTAGATACTTTTGTAAATTTTAACTTAATAAATTTAAATTAAATAACTCAAGTTAATTAATGTCTGGTTAGATATTTTATCATACTTGAATTTTTTATTTTATTAAGAGTCACCTACAAAAAAACAAAATAACAAAAATGTTAATTACTATATATAATAATTTATA